TTCTAGAATGCAGTTTTCTTTCTTGTATTTGGAAATTTGTCTATGGAAAAACCTTCAGAACTGTAGTCAGCTTAGTTATGTGAGAGTTTTCTAAATAATTCTTGAGCACCAGCCTGTCAAAAGCCCATTGAATGTTGCTTTTGTCCTTGTTGTATTCAAACAAGTATGACTGCAGTCAATGCAAAAGGTAAGCTGGTTGTTCTTGTGTAGTATTAGCCTGTCTTTTATGGAATCTAGGCAAAACCAGAAGGTGCTGTGGAAGTAGGTGAATTTGTGATGAGTGCTTTTATTTGGTGAAGTCTGTTAAAGTAGTTGTATGTGGGAGATGGCCCCCTGTGTTGATGAAGCATGTCTTACTTCTGTTGTTCCACTTGCCTAATGGAGTAGCGTAGTCTTTTAGGAACATTGCTTGTGTCCTCTGCTGCAAGAAATTAGTCTTTATGCTCTTCCTCTTATTAGACAAGGTAGTATATAGGTGGAGGAAGAAAAGTGCAAAAAAGCAAATGACAATTTACTTGTCTGTATCTCAGAAACTCTTCATTATGACCCTCATTTCTACCCAGTCACGGCTCCTGTGTAATACTCGTGGTCTTTTTCCCCTTCTTTATAAGCATGTGAAATGAGCAGATATGCGAGTAAAAGTTCATTTCAAGGAAAAGATAAGAGCATACAAAGTGGTACCCAAAAAAAATGCTTTGAAACATAACAGGATTTTATCCATGCAGGTATAACTTACCTAAATGATGTTTCACTGCTGCTGCGGTAGATGACTTTGTAGACTTCTCAGGTGAGTTTGCTGCTTGGTGATTGATGTGGTGTATTTGCATTTTGATTGATTTAAAGTCTTAAGTGGGTCGGTTGTGGGGATAAGTAATTAGTGATTCAAGATAATCTGTCTGATTATCCTGCAAAGCAGGCAAACTAAGTATCTTATTTGAGTTTAAAATTTCATCACACCTATATGGAATGAAGTTTTGAAATAGCTAGTTGCAGCTTTGTGCCTTGATTTCAGTTCTCAAATACACATACGCTTAGCAGTTTCTGCTCAGTGTGTAATGAAACTAAGGAGCAGTGGTGGTAGACGCTTAGTCAGATTCTGTAAAGACCTGGGAAGTGGCAGGGGGCAAACAAAATAACTGATAACTTTCCTTGATAATGTGGAATCATACCTTTTTAAAGGTGCAGATAAGTCTTCTCTGCTAGCCACAGCTTATTCCTGTAACTGTAATAATATATCTGAAAAGCAAATATTTTTCTTTTTGAATAGTGAAAATTGAGTCTTATGTCTGGTAGGTTCAAAATATGAAAGGGGCAGTCCTTAGCTAGAAGGTGATTTCTTAATTTTATTGTCCTTTCCTTAACGGCTGCTGATAAGCTGGAGGGGTGGGCACAAACCAATCTCATGAGGTTCAACAAGGCCAAGTGCAAGGTCCTGCATCTGGGTCGAGGCAACCGCAGGCACCAATACAGGCTGGGCAGGGACTGGCTGGAGAGCAGCCCTGAGGAGAGGGACTTGGGGGTGCTGGTGGACGAGAAGCTCAACATGAGCCAACAGTGTGCACCTGCAGCCCAGAAAGCCAACCAGATGCTGGGCTGCATCAAGAGAAGTGTGGCCAGCAGGTCGAGGGAGATGATTCTCCCCCTCTACTCCTGTCTTGTGAGACCCCACCTGGAGTACTGCATACAGTTCTGGAGCCCCCATTACAAGAGGGATGTGGACCTGCTGGAGCGTGTCCAGAGAAGGGCCACCAGAATGATCCGAGGGCTGGAGCAGCTCTCCTACGAGGACAGACTGAGAGAGTTGGGGCTGTTCAGTCTGGAGAAGCGAGGGCTCCGAGGTGACCTTATTGTGGGCTTCCAGTATCTTAGGGGGGCCTACAAGAAAGCTGGGGAGGGACTTTTTAGGATATCGAGTAACAACAGGACTAGGGGGAATGGGGCAAAGCTGGAAGTAGGCAGATTCAGGCTGGACATGAGGATGAAGTTCTTCAACATAAGAGTGGTGAGAGCCTGGAATGGGTTGTCCACGGAGGTGGTCGAGGCCCCATCCCTGGGGGTCTTTAAGGCCAGGCTGGATGAGGCTCTGGGCAGCCTGGTCTAGTGGGAGGTGTCCCTGCTCATGGCAGAGGGGTTGGAACTGGGTGATCCTTGTGGTCCCTTCCAGCCCTGACAGATTCTGATCTGTTTTAGCAGAGGACTTTAGAGCCCTATTGGCTCAATGGTTGGACTTGATGATCTTAAAGGTCCCTTCCATCCTGAAGGATTCTATGATTCTATGATTCTATAATGAACTAGGCTGAGGTTTATGCCCTGGGCTATGTCTCTGAGAAGAGTTTCATGTAAATTTCTGAATTTGAAATTCAGGTTTGGTGTTTCTTTGGAGGAATGAATTTGAACCTGTAATCTTAGTCAAACTTTGACTGCAGTCTGTTCAAAGTGTCAGTGCTGTAGAATGCATCTCTTTGTAGAGGAGTTACATTGTAAAAAGTAAACAGGTATGCTATAGGTTTGAGATTAATTTAGCAATTAGGTACTGTTTTAAATACAAGCTAGCTTTTGTTTGTTTGTTTAGTTTTGTTTTTGTTTTTGTCTTCTAGATTGGTTTCTCATAGTGATAGCTGAAGCAAAAATCCAGGATAGGAGACTATGAGGTTTCTATATTTTCTTTCGATTTTCTGTCTATTTTTTCCTCATATTTCATTCTCTTCAATTCGCATTCACTTTGTTTTCCATGTTTTTAAGACCACTGTTAGCAAGTGCATAATATTGTATATTCTTTGAAATCTGTTTTGGCTGCAGCTGAGTATGTGTTTTGTACCTCTTTCAAACAAAGATTTTTTTTTTTTTTGTAGCATGAGGGAAGAACATCCTTCATGCCTGATCACTAAACATTATCAATTAAATTGTTTTTGAATTTTTAGTATTTGCTATACAAGTTAGCTGGATTACATTACCTTTCTCATATGCTGAACCATTTGCAGGGTTTGTTTTTGTTTGGACATACGTTCTGCTGTGTAGTGTGTTACGGAGGTTTCTTTTTTTTTATTTTATTTTTTTAAAAAATATGTGACCATATTTGTAACAGTGTGTGGATAGAAATAGTAGTCAAAGGGATAAAATAAATTTCCTAAATATGGAGGAAAAATCTATAAAAAAGATCTGGAGATGGTGGTAGGAGAAGAATTAAAACAAAAAAAAATGCTTGAAAGAAGATGGCAATGTGATTTGTAGAAAAAGTGCAGTCTACAGAAAACAGACAGACATCCATAGGAATTTGGAAAAAGTTACAAAACAAAAGTTCCTGTTAAAAAGTAAAAAAAATGAAACAAGGATGGAAAGATACCATGTACACAAATAAATAGTCATGTATATTTTTTTTGTGACTAAGACATTTGCTCAATGCATAGATTAATTTCACTGCATGTCATCAGATATATTTTTCACATGCCTTACTGTCACACTGGCTTACCTAGTGGTTTAACTAATGACTTATAATTTTTTCTGCCAACCTTAGTCTTAAAATCAAATATATTAAATTAATGCTTTTAATATTATTTAACTCTGATAATACTAGAAAAGGTCGTTTATTGGCTATTAAGCTAGCTGTCAAACGTTATGACACAGTGCCGCAGAAAGTGCAGCGATTTACTTGGTGCTCAGTGATTGTGCAGAGCAGGGAGAAGAGGTTGCATATCTTGGGGAGAAGCTGATACCAAAACTGCTACTCAGGCTCAGAACTGCCCCATCCCTTTGGGCTTACTGCCTCGTGAGCAGTTCCCTTGTGCAGTGGGAGTGCTCTGGATGCCCACGCACTGACAGGGTTCAAGGTGAGGAGCAAATTCAGCTTGCAGGCCTGCTACCTGTGAGGGACATACTTTGAGTTCAGTGGTGACATAGTTATTCTTTTTGCCCTAATTATTACATGTAGGTTTAAAATAAGGGATTGTTGAGTACAACTCAAATGTGTTGTCTTACATGTTTTTTCTCAGCACATTTTCATTCTTTTTCATGTCTGACAAATGTTTTAACCAGATTTAACCATCTGGAGGTTGCAAACCCTTATGAATGTTATCAGCAGTATTGTAGAATTATCTAAAGGTGTATCCTCTTGTTGGTACTATCTTATGTATCTGAGCACATTTCGGTTAGCTTGGATATTAGAGGCACAGCAGTTGCCTTTTTATCCTGAGATAAAAGTTTCATTTGTTTCTTACTACAGTTGCAGTATTACTGCTAGGAAAACGCTTTAGATGAATGCCATTTTGATTTAGGGGGGACAAAACTGTACATGGAAATAAAGTAGAGTCCTGAAGAAAAATTACAGAGCTCTGGTATGCATTTAAGAGTGAGGATGTTTTAACAGGGATATCATAAGAACAGAATGCAAGTATCTAACACAAAGTTGAAGTTGTTTTTTTGATGACAATGAGATTTTACTGCCTGTGGGTACACTAAACTGTTGTCTCTGTTGAACAAAGTTGCATTATTTGACTTGAGCTGCAAATTCAGTTAGACTTAATTCCCTTTTTGCAACTATTTTGTATTATATTCTTCTTGGTTGCCTCACTTAATAGTTATTTTTTAGTGTCTTCGTGAATTCTGGAGTATCCAGAACTGTACCTTTTGGCTTGATTTTTGTTATGCTAACAGTGCAAGTGAAAAAGTATTAACCTGTATTCTTGATCCATCAGCACAGATGTAATTTCTGCAAATGACTTGTTTTGTCAAGGGTTGACTGAATAATTTCCATCACTTCTGCATTTATGGGCTTTTATGTTTAGTAGTAGCAAGATATTCAGTTCCTTGTTTACATTACTGTGTCACGTTTTGAGTGTGATTAAAGTACTAATGAAATTAAAATAATGCTATCAATCTACATATATGAGGTTGTTATATTTCATAGAACTAAAATGTACAGGTCTAAAATGGAGTACATGAATGTTCTTTTACAGTTGCTTGTTGTCTATTATCAGATTTTTTTTTTTTTTTTTTAAATAGAGACTTGCAGGACAGCAGCAGGAGATAAACAACTTAATACAGAGAAAAAATACCTTGGCTGAGGAAAATGCACATTTGAAGAATGAATTCAGTAACTTGAATGAGAAATTTAAAGATAAAAGTAAAGAACTTAAGGTATATTGACTTGTACATAGTTTCGTTAGACTGTGGCTTTGAAGTCGTTCTTTAAGCAATGTCAGCCTTTGTGGCACAGAAAGTGACAAGCTTCGAGGAAAAAAATTGCCTTAGGCCTTGCTGTACCTTACCATTTTCTCACATACCAACTCTGAGGAAGATGCTTTAAAGCCAAGAATCCATGCTTTATAACTTTCAGATAAATAGTTAATGATGGAAATGGAGCAAAGAAAGTAGGAGTGTGAAGATGTGGCTTCTTGTAATTAGATTCTGATGGGACTGGCATTATTAATTGATAAAGCCGAGGTCTGGGAGGATATGTCTGTGTGGGTCTCAAAAATAGCTGGGGACAGCATCAAAGGCAGCTTGATCAATTAATGGGCTCTTTGCAAATGTGTACTCATCAAAGCTGTCATCCAGCTAAAAAATATGACCCTTCCACCTGCATGAAAGAGGCCAATAAAAGTACACAGGTGACCTTGGCCATCAAATATAGAAGAAGCTGCTGTGAGGGTAAAACTGCACAGTTTATATTTGCTGATTAGTTCTCACTTTTTTTGTTTATCGGCCCTTGTGGTACTGTTCTACAGGACACTGAGGAGTGTGCACAGAAGAAGGAACAGCAAAACAGGCTGGTTATAAAAAGCCTGGAGGAGGAAAACAAGGGATTAAATACATGCTGTGCTGACCTGCTATATGACCTGGAGAAACTGAGGAAGCAGGAGGCACAGTGGAAAACAGAAAAATCTGGCAATGATGCCAGAATAAAGGTACGAAGTGGAATGGACTCCTGGATGTTATTTCAGAATTAACTTCTCCAGACATTTGCACTACAAGTTATTTTCTTTAAATAACAAGTTATATATTCAAATCTACCAGTGGGGACTTGCATTCATTTACATTCCTTCACTTAAGACCCACAGCTTTTTAAAAATTGATGTTGCAAAGCAGGAATCTGACTTCAAATAGTGATCTTAAAATGTAATCATTAAAAAATAAAAGATACTGTATTTTAAGATAAAATATATACGTATGTGAAATAATAAAAGCTTAAAAGTATTATCTTTCACTTTTTTTTTTTCCTCTGTGTAATTTACTTACCTACAACACAGTTGCAATAGTCTTGGTATTTGTTGTTTTGGAAGAACACTTTTAAAACTTCAGCTGCGGTTCTGAATAAATTGTGTCCTAGCCTCCAGAGGGCTCCACTCTGAGAGAAGCCTTATTATTGCGTATAATATATCAAAAAGTTATTTTCACTGTTTGTAATAAAATGAAAAGAAAATAATTGAATACATGGTACAGAATATTATTTTTTTTATTTAAATGATACTTCATCCTGTTTACTGGTGAAAATGCGCAAGTACTTTTTAAATCCCTGAAAGAAATAAGCCACAAACATGTTATCAAAGTGTTTGATGGCTTCTTATCTACATATCTAGTTAGTGCATTCTTTATATTTACATGGCTAATGAACATTTATATTGTTGTGCTGTTACACTTATCAAAGTACATGACCTTCTGGTATATTCAATGTAGTAACTGTTTTTTTTTCCTGCACTAGCAATTCGATGGTTTTGGTGACACTTCTGATTGTTGTGCTGATGAAAACCCTCTGTAAAGAGCTTTGTTATGATCTGTTAGTTTGGGAAGTGAAGTGCTTGCAAGTTGAGACCTTTGGAGTAGTTACAATGAAAGGATTATAGGGTTCCCGGGACAGCAAATGCTTTGTTGAAACTTGGGAGAGAAAAACTAGTGTGCAGTAAACTGAGTTAGTAATTTTCAAGTTGTCAAATGTAGTGCTTGTAATATTGGATAAATTACTGAAAATCATTGTTAACCACACCTTCAATGAAAACAATCCGAATAACTTCTAGTGTACCTGTGCCTCTGGCTGATAAGCGTGTGGAATTACAGCCACGTGATTCCAGAGGTGGGAATAAGTACTATTGGTATTTCAGAGTGACCACAAGCAGGTCAAGGTGGTCTCTAGAGCATGACAGAGGTAACCTTTTGAGATGGGTTCCCTGAGCCAACCAGCAGTGACAAAGAGCAGCATCTGCTGTGCACAAACAAAGAACTGATTAAAGAAATAATAATCAATGACAGCCTTGGCTATAGTGATCATGAAATTGTGAAGACTGAGATCCTGAGAAGACGAAGGAAGGAGAGTAAGCACAGTAGAGTCCTGGAGTTAAGGAGGAGAGTCTTCATCTGTTCAGGGAGCTGGTCAGTAAAATCCCATGAGAAACAGCACTGAAAGGTAAAAGAACTCAGGAAAATTATCAGGTCTTTAAAGACAACTTCCTCCAAGGCTATGTAAGATCACCCTGAGAAAAACTCAGGACCACTTCCTCAGGAGAACAAGTGGATGTATCAGCAGACCAGTTTGGCTAAGCACAATTAATCGCCAAATCAGTGTAGGGTAGGACTGAAAAGCAGTATTCAGGAAGTGAAGTGGTGAAAGCTATGAAGAAGGTGTTCAGAAACATTGTCTGGGCACTCAAGAACGGTGGTAGCCTACCTGCAGTCAAGACTTTCAAGTGTTGACAGGTACAGCAAGTTTCTTGCTCTACATTAGTGAAAGGCTGTATAAGTTAAACAGGGACTGTTCTTGAAAGGGAGGGATGAATTAGTGACAGCTGGTGATAGAGCATAGGTACTGAATGTCATCTTTACTTCAGTCTTGCCTGACAAGATTCCTTCAATCATTTGTGCCGGGAGGCAGACTTCAAGGGGGAATACTAAGAGGATGAGTTGGAAGATAACACAAGAGAACTTGACTAATATACATCCATTGGACCAGTTGAACTGCATCCAAGGGCACTGAGAGAGGTGGCTGATGTGACTATCAGGCTGCTGTCTATCATCTTTCAAAAGCAGCAGAGATTAGTGAGGTCCCTGATGAGAAGGATCTTCTAAGAACAAAGGTTATTTGGCCTCACTTCACTTCCTGTGAAAATCACAAGTGAAGTAATCTTGGAAGTAATTTCTGGGCACATAATTGAGAAACCAACTAGCAGTAATCATGGATTTTCCAAGGCTGTATCATTCCTGGGCAACCTGATTGTCTTTTGTGATAAAATTACTGTCCCTGTGAACAAGAGGAGAGCTTGGGTGTGACTAACTTTAGCAATGTTTGTGACACTATCTTGCTGTATTCTTGTACTCAAGTTAGAATGTTACAGCTGGATAGGTAGACAACAACATGTGTAAAAGAACTATTTGGATGTTTGGGTTCAAAGAGCTTCGGTTAATGGGTAGTTTGGGTTGTTGATTGGTAGTAAGTGGTACACTACAGAATCTATCCTGGACCTGTCTTGTTAAAAATCTTTATCAGTGATCTGGAAGAGAGCACAGTGGCCTTACTTGTCAAGTCTGTAGGTGACACCAGACTGGAGGAAACGGATTTGCATGAGGGCTCTGCTGTCATCCAGAGGGACCTTGACAGAACCAAGCCAACAGAAGCCTTACCCAGGACAAATTATGAGTATCATCCTGGGAAGGCAGAGCCTTCCAGCCATACTGAGGATCAGTTCTTGGGAAGACCCCTGGGCACTGTCAGGAAGCAGGCTGCATCAGGGCCAGCCCTGTGCACCCAGGATGCTTATAAACAATAAAGAATAATAATTTTCTTATCCACAGGGGCCAAATATGACATTATCACACCACATGATTTTGGGGTACAGATGGTGTTCTAATATATACACCCCAATACAACATGTCCTGAAATGCTTTAAAAAAGTGATCTGTGAGCAAATTCAATAATGGAATTGTATTGCACTCAAGTGATTGTAAAAATGAGATTAAAATAATTTGAATTCAGTCAAATCTGCCTCTCAGCATTGAGTTCAGGAGTTATGCATCTCTTTTTGTACATGGTTTTCAGTAATAAACACTGTGTTTAACAATATTGTAGGTGATGTAGTATACTGATACTACTCATGTTAGTCTCCTATATCTTTGGAAGAATAAAATGAAACCTTATCAATGTAAGCTTCCCAAAACTGTGTTTAAAATGTGTATTGGATGATAGAAATACTAGATCTAAATAACAGATTATTCTTTTGGAAAAGTGGCCCTCTTGTCAGAGACTGAAGTATGCATTATTAGCCCTCTTTTTTAAACTCCGTTTTTTTTTTTCCTCCTGCCTCTCCACCCCCCAGTCTTGAAACTGTTTTTTTTGCAGAAAAATATATGTCACTTTCAAAGACTGGTTGTTTTCAGGCCTAGTATAAGCTGAATTGATGTATAAAATTCAACTGTTTCAAATTGAGAGAAATAGCTTCTGTGGCTAATTTGTCCATTTAGGGAATATTTCTTCAAAGGTTTGTCATGTTAGCTAAAATCCAAGTGAGACAGATTAACAGGAAGAGACCTGATAAGGTGGCTAAAAGAGTGAAAATAGTATTTTTTCCCATATATAATTTATGTAAATAATATACAGCTGCAAAAAATTAACATAGGAGTTTGCTTTCTGCCTTAAAGTGGTTTTTAAGATTTACTGTTCTGTACTGTCCATGGTTTATATCAGTTTTCTGTATCTCTCTAAAGTGCAAAAGTGGAAAAGCTGCCAAACAGTGACCATATGCCTGGATGTGTCTCCATATTTAAGAATGAATTAGGTGTTTGATTTACCTTCTTGTTCTTTGGGTGAATGTTACTTATGTTACTGTTTAATAGTAAGAAGAATGTGTAGTTTCCCAGACTCAGTCACAAAAGGCTTTTTCTAGGTAGACACAAAAATTGTCAGACAGGCAGATTTTAAATAGAGGTGACCTAAAAGATAGTGGAATTGCTTACAGGAGTGTTTTTCTGTGGGATTGTTTGTTTGTTTGCTGGTTAGCAAAATGCTTTTTAAATTTCCTGAAATCTGAAGGTGGGAACTTTTAAAGAATCTAGGAGAGGTGTCCTTTTTTTAAAAAAAAAAAAATAAAACTTCTGAGAAATAGCCATCTCTCTCAAGAGGAGCCTGGGGCTTTAGTTCCACTGAAAAATGAGAGTTTTATTGAGATAGGACCTTGAAGAAATGCTCTCATCTCTGTCGTAACACCTAACAAGAAAAGAAACATTAAACCAAAGCTACTATAAATGACAGTGACTTTATAAGGGTTTGAAGCTACAAATAACAAAACCTTAGCAATTCACAGTGAGTCTGTAATCTGTGCACAGCTGTGCTGCTTCGTGCTGCGTCTGTGTGTTACACATTTCCTGTAAGATCTATTACACTCACCTTTTCTCTGTTTTTGTTTTTTTTTTTTTTTTTTCTGAGTTTACAGTTCTTGGGCATGAAGTGATCAAAACAGCTCTGTAATGTTTTACCTTAAATTACTATTTTATTTTTCTTCTTTTCATTTTAGTTAGGATCATGGCCAGAAATAACGATGACTTATTTTTCATGCTTCACTTTAAATAATATTATAAAGAAACGTGATATCCTTTCCTTGTGTCTTGTCTTTCTCTCAAATATGCATTTTCTTCCTCATGTAACTGAACTATCAGATGTTTGGACTATGTTTTAAATAGTACTTACTTTGCTTTAATATGCTTTAAAAGATTTAATTCTAAAAAGTCTATATGTACAATTGAAATTAGCTTTAATTTGAAAATCAAGTTCAGGAGATTTCTTATTTAACAAATTTTCAATGAGCAGGTTTATGCAATGAAACGACCTCAGCTACTGTAGTAGGTAAAAGGCAACACAATAAATTTTATGTGACTTTAAAAAATGGAAATACTCAGAAACTGAGTGTAAAAAATTACAGGTTATTTAATAATTTTAGATTTCTAATTTACATACAAAAGCTCTGCTGGATGCCTCAATGTATATTTCAGTTTATATACTACTTATATAGTAGGTCCCTCTTTGCTCCTGTTTTCATATCTTAGCCTTTAACTAATGCTTCCAAAAACAGTAAAGGTTTTAAAATCAGTTCAAAAGGTTGAACTGATGAGTTTGTTAGTTGAAATCAAAATCTGAAGCTGCATGTCACAACTGAAGTACTCAAAGATACTTTATCCCCCTATTTTTAAATTCTGCTATCTTAAAACATCAAAGTTTTTTTTTTGGCAAAATAATTTGCTACCTATTATTTGTTACCTATGTCCACCATGCAATGGAGGTACTGTGAAAAATCTCTGCTGCTCTATAGTGTGGTATGAAGGACAGACAAATAAGATTTTTTCACAGAAAATGTGAACTATTCACATTTTTGCTTTCATACACAATAACTTGTAGCTGCTGTGGAATTGAAAAAAACAAACACTGTGTAACCATAACATTATTTGGCTGCAAGTTATAAATGCCTTTCTACACTTCAACGTTTTCATGTGTTGATACAGTGTATTTGTCTCCCATTATCATGAAATCCTTTTTATCTGAGAGGATAATTCTTGCTGCTTAGCATTTGAGATTCAGTGACAGCTCATTAGTTAGGTACACCAGATACACAGCCTGAGATGAGACAAATAGTTTTCCTACTGCATTTATTCACAAATTTTTCTATTTCCTCAGATTAATGTTACTGTTATTAACAGGACATGATAATTCTTGTCCAAATTCAAAGAATTTGATTGTAGTGCACTTTTGATACTCCAAATACGTGTGAGAGTTTTTTATGTTATTTTAAAATGAAACAGTTAATTATTTGCTGTTCAGTTATAAAAATATTTTTGATACCATCAATATTTGAGGCATTTCTACTGAAAGTGAAAAATGTGCATTTAGTTGTCTTAAGACTGCGTGTAAATGGAACACAAACTAATATACCATTGGCAGTAGAGCAATGATACTATCCTACTAGGGAGTTATTTATTTTAAGTTATTAATGAGTCCTGGAGTATTTGCCTTACTGAGAACAAGTGATTGTGTCTGTGAGAAGTGTAACACCAAAGGAAGTCGAAGGCTGTTGTCTTTCCGTTTCCAGTCTTGCCTCAAAGCACTCTGGGAGCATAGTCATACAAAGCTTCTCTAAGCTGCTGCATGTCCAGAGAACTCTAGTAAGGTCACTATGTAGAGGCTGAAATTTTGGTTGAGTAAACTGTCTTGCAACTCTGTTTCCCAGATACACTGTCACACTTTGCTGACTAACTTATATGGAGAGGCTTACTGTGAAGGGCAAACTACTGCTAGTTTACATGGCTTTCAGTGAGCATTTCCAGAAGTTTACTTACACGTTAGTTCTTTTCCTAAAGGAAGCGTTCCTTGCATTGTGTTAGGAGTAAAAAATCAGAGCAGATTTAACAGGCAGTCTCCAAAATGAATCTGTGTCTGTGATTCTCAATTCATGTGTTCGATATTGTGCTTTTTTTTTTTTGAGAACTTAAAGCAATGAAGTAGTGTTTTTTTTGTGAGGAGTAGGTTTTTTTTTGTTTGATTTCCACACAGAAAACAAGGTTTAATCTGTTGAGTGGTTAAGTAGCGTTGCAAAGATTTGATTCAGGGTTCTCCTTCCATATGCAGCAAATAAATTAAGGAAAACTTCCTACTGTAAAGAATAGGTGGCCACCTAAAATTTGAAATAGACTTTTTTCTTTTTTTTTCTTTGCTTTTTCCCCCACATTTTTCATACAATCACACATGCACATATCTCTATATATTTAGTTAGACCACAATAAATATATGCATATCTGCATCTGCATGTCCTTTTGTCTGTATACGTAGACAACACACACAGTGTGTAACTCTCTCATACATTATCTTTAATATATTTCAAATGCTTTCTTTGCAGAATTTGGAAACTGATTTAGCAGAGGCAAGAGAACAAATGAAAGAGTTACGCAGTATATGCAGTAACTTGTCATCTCAGGTATCTGTGAAACAGGAGGAACTCTCTCAAAAGAATTCTGATCTGATTGGAGCTAAGTAAGTATTTTATGATCTCATTGCCCTTAAGTCTGATATTCTTCTTAAAAAGACTATTGTTCCAGTTACAAAGCAGGGTCTTGCATCACAGCTGGTTTTGTGCGACTGTATTTTCACACCCTTCTGTAACACAATTTGGAAAGCTATTTGGAAGCCTATCACTAGATGACAGTTTATGTAGACTCTTTCTGATATATTTTGACTCTTAGTATATTCTCAGTTGTCACATAGGGATGGGCTTTAAAAATTACACTTCTGTAACTGGCATTCAGTCAAAGAACTACCAGTCTTCACTGAAAGTAAGAAAATACCGTTATGATTGGTGACATGAACATTTAGTTGAAGAGGCTAAAGCCCTAAACTTGGAAAAGCTTTAAGCCTAACTTGAAATTTTTAATTAGAGTAAACTCTGACGAGTCAGCAAATATCTACATATGCTAAAGGTTTCAAGCACGATGATTTGAGCTTTACCTTAGGTCTCACACACCATTTCTTTACACTGACTCTGTAAGATTAGTGCTGCATTATTTGAGTCATAGGAAAGAAAAGAAGGATGGAATGAATTACATGAATTGACTAGACTACTGAATTCCTCAAAATGAAGGTAATGGCAGATGAGAATTGGTAACTTTAAGTGGACTGTCAGGAAACTGTCCATTTTTCATTTCGTCATTTCAGAGGCTTACACAGTGTTTATCACTCCTGTGTTAGACAAATAATATTCCCTTCTGTATTCCCTCAAGCTGTGGTTATGCCTGCAGACCTGTAGCTGGAGTGCAGAAATGATTGGTATGGACACTCCTCTTTGCTTTCAAAGCAGAAATAATCTTTCTGTAGGGAGTAAGTATCAAACTCTTTTTGGGGAAAAAATAGAAATATGATTTTTTGGTGCCTCTGAACTGAATTGGTATTTGTTGAAATTGGTATTTGTTGAAATCTTTACAGAAAAATGGTATCTTGTTATTTGCATATTTCAAAGGCTTAATGGTTGCATTTTCAAAAGTTATAAAAATAGGTAACTTCAATGTGAAATTGTATTGAAAGAGACAGTCACTGGAACCTATGAAATTTATCAATAAACAAATAGGTTATATTATCTTCTGAAATTATTCATAGAAGTGTATGTATGTGCAAGAGGAATAGGGACAGCAGAGAAGACATTTTTAAAGTCGGGTGGTCAAGATGTGCAAAGTTACTGTGTGTTGCTTGCAGTTTAGGATATTGCACATTGAGTTGGCCAAATCACTGAACTTAAAATTTCTCAGAATTTATTCTTTGCTATTCGCTGCAAAACAATCTCTTAATATTTGACATGGACATCTTGTTTCAATATGTGATTAAAATAAGTACTTTTTTGAATATAAGTTCTGAATTTGAGGTAATAAAAAGCTGGACAATGTATTCTTATTTTGAAGTGTTTTGACTATTTTTCTGTGTGTTATTCCATACAACCGACTTAAAAATTTATGAAAAATACTTTGGCAAGGTGATCGTATACATTTTTCTGTGTGCTTGAAAGTTTTACTTCTTACGTACTTCACTGGTATTGGGATGAATGATATTATTTTTCCATATCACAAGTATGTGAGTTATACTGGGCATGCTATAGATGTATATATTTGATCAGTACCATTGTAATTCAATGTCTGCTAATTTTTCTTAATGTCTTTGGCTACAAGTTTCTTGCAAACATTTCTATTATTAAAAGAGAAGGCTTAAGCTGAATGGCTTAGAGCACATAAAATTCGCAGTTGCAGGCAGCAGTTTTAATAGTTAGCAATACAAACTAATATTTTCAAGTATTATGCATTTTTGTAGTACAGAATACTGAGGTTTCTCCTTATTTTTCCAAGGAGTCAGTACATAGATAAAATGATTTTTCTATTGGTCCTAAATGAAAAAAAAAAAAAAAAAAACATAAACAAAATTTCAAAATAGTAAAGGCCTATGTGGACAAAAGCCAAAATCTTACTTAAATTAAAGAAAACAACAGCTTCAGAATTAAAGCAAAAAACCTCAGGATTAAAGTCTTTACCTCTTTTAATCTTTGTTTGAGAAAACCAACTGTGTTGACATCATGATTGAAGCATTTGATTTTTTTGTTGTTGTTGTTTTTAGTTACCCTTCTTTTAAATTTGGTCTTATAAAAGTTTCACATTGAATACTCAGTTTTCATTTAACGTTGGCAGAAAAGTATTTGACAAATAGTATGGAAAATACCTGATCTCCTTAATATTTCGTTTCCCATTATCAGTTTTGAACTTTCAGATCTAAAAGGCAATCTGGTTTGCAAATCTCTCTGTTCTTCTCACTGCTTTGTGTCTCTCTCTCTTTCCCTGTCTGCTGCGTGCCTGCCTTCCCCACCCTCCTCTTCTTTGAAAACAACAGCAGCACAGTTGTAATTATGAGAAAAAGGCTCTGGAGGAAGAAGGGAAGGAAACTGGCTTCCTTCATTTAGTGTCTTCTTTCATACACAGTATAGGCATATACAGAAAAATTCTCGTTTGGCTGCTACCTTGGTAATATTGTCTGAAGTTCTTACAATAGAGGCTAAAATCAATTGGAACAGAAAGTCTCTAAGGGTCTATGTGCAAACTGGTCTGGTGCGCTGTTTCGTGTGCAATTATGACTTCTTGCTCTGTTCTGCATATCTGTCAGTTTTTTGGCAAGGTGTTTTTTTCAGTTTAACAGTAACTGTCTGTAGACAGTAAGAGATCTGTTTTCATTACAGGGCAGTCTTTTTCAGCAAATATTAGCAAGGATCAAAATTTTGAAGAAGTATTCCAGTCTAACTCTGGCCCTACAGAATAGTGTTTGTTTTTGAAAATCCTGCCCAGTGTCAGTAGAAGTCTGTAACATGCTTCTGAGGTGTGGAAGATAAATTTTCTAACACCAGTGAACAGAAAATATTTACAAGACCCATCCCACACAGTGGATGTCTTCAAGAAGCTATCATCTTTCTTTGCTAGTTTTAGTTTTGAAAAGCACTCTGGATTGCAGTGAATTTAATTTCAGACTCATGAAGTAGCTGTGAAAAGCATTTATTTGCTGTGGTTTTCATGTTTGTATTCAATACAGATTTTCTGGATCTATTCTTATAGTTCCTGGCAGACTTTCCATTTTCATGTTCTTGAAGAACATTAAATCTTTCCTGTTATGGTTTTTTTTTTTTTTTTGTGTGTGTGTGAAGATTAATGCATCTCTAATGCAATTTTTTTTTTTTAGTCATGCTAAATATCAGTATTTAGACCTTTGTGTTTACTGCTGAGTTTAGAACTTTGTGTTTACTTACTTGGTCATCTGTGTTGCAATGACACAGAGTGCTGATGGAACTCTGAGCATTGGGCTGAAGAGGTTTACTTGAGTCACTGAGACATGGGCTTTGCAGGCACACTTATCCAGAAGATTATTAAACTGTCTGCAAATATAATAAGCTTTATTCTAAAACTGATTAGAATTTCTTGCCTCTGTGTTCTTACTGGCAGTGTGTGCCATGACTTCATTCCTTTGATCAGTTTCTCATCCGAATCTATCCCTCATCATTTTACAGGGACATCTTTTGTAACAGTACTGTGTGTTTTGTGGTTTTTCTTCCTCCCCTCCCCCACTGTTGTTGCTGTTTACCTCCATGCTGTAAATTATGAGGCAGCCAGATTTGTGCTCAACCCTTATTTCGCTGCTCTGGGAATTTCAGGTTATTCTTTGCTGTGTGCTGTAAACCATTTCATAGTATCTATGCCATTCCCCTGAGAAGCCATAATTCATAGTACCTGTCACTGTGCTGTATTTCTAAACTACAGGTAATGGAATCTACAGATTTCCTGAATTACCCCAAACCCTCTTATATTCCCTTGGTGACAGGGGTAGCTGAGGTACTCGGAATCCTGGCATATTCAGCAAAACTGTGGTGGTGAAAAAAAGCCAACATCATCACCTGAAGTGGTGGGTGTAACGAACGTTACCTCTGTTTGCAGCACAGTTATATAGCTTCGGAGTGACAGTAGCTCCTCACTTCATTTACATCTCTGTGAAACCACAGTGTACTCTTAAATTGTTGGTATGTGCAGGACATAGAGGTTTTATTTAATGTTGTCCTCTAAGCATAGAAGGAAACTTGAATTCACAGTCTTTGTCAGATATGAGCCCGAGAGCTATCTCTACCCTACACAATAGTATGAATCTTAAATATTGTTATTGACAGGACAAGGCGTCAAATTGTGCTGCAGCCCCATTTGTAGTGTCTTCATGTAGTGTCAACCTTACAATGTTCAAAGCAAAATCTAAGGTTATTGTAATCTTACTTTAGTGGCCAAAATAATTGAGTTACGCTCTTCTATTTTGACCTGAGAAAAAAATGGCTTTTTCATAGCTGGATTTTCCTTGGGACTTGAAGAGTACAGCTCACTTTCTGTAGATTTCTGGGTTTCCCATTGTATTGGTCTTGAGGTTTTCGAAGGGAGATAGATGGGCTTTTTTCTCAGTAATATCTGGTGACTTCAGTGTTAAGTGCAGTTAAATACTCTCAGTGTATGATGGTCTGTTTGTTTATGGGGAGGGTGGGAGCAGCGAGGAAAAAGACCTGGTAGGTGTCTCAATTTTGGTGCTTAGCTGAGAGATTATTTGGGTTTTTTTTCAGTTACTGTTGCTCATAGTGACTTTTTTCTTTGTGTTTGTTTAGAGTGTACAGTATATCAAAACATTGTATCAATATATTCTTATACTTGTGTCTGAGAATTCTACTGTAGGCATGCTTGTACACATCCACGTAGGTATTTTACATGTAGATGTATATATGTCTACATATCTATATGTAAGTAGATAGATGCACATATATATATATAGGTGTATATGTAGGGTTTGTGTTACTGGCACATGTGTTTTAAATGCCACTCATTCCTTTGTTATGTTGACTTTGCAATTTTTTATTTTTTCTTGTGTTACATGCCCACCTGAGAGTATAATTTTAATTAGCACTTGACATCCTTATCCTGCTGCAGTGA